ATATATATATATATATATACATACATACATACACACACACATATACACACATGTGTATATATACATATGTGTATACACACACATATACAGATGTATACACACATGTGTATATATACATATATGTCTACACACATATATACAGATATGTCTACACACATATATATATATATATACATATATATATAGAACTCTGGTAGCATAGTGGCTATGAGTTGGGCTGCTAACCTTATGGTCAGCAGTTCGAAACTACCAGCAGTTCCTCGGGAGAAAGATGAGGCTTTCTGATCCCATAAAGATTTACAACCTCAAAAACTTTGTGCAGGGTCACTATGAGTTGGAATCGACTCCATGGCACATCACCACCACCATACATATGTATATGTATTCATTGTTTAATGTCCATTAAACATTCTGGAAATAAGATGTTAAACAGTTTGGATGTTACATGAACACCCTATTCTATACAGGCAGTCCCTGTACAGTCCATAGTGAGTAGGGAGTGGAAGGCTGTACAGTTGCTGGGCAGGTGAGTGAAGCCAGGTGGAGAGAAAGGAAGAGGTGAAAGAGGCGGTATTTCAGAGATTGGTATGCACCCTAGAATCCCATTGCTCAGTCACTCTAGAGGCTTGGGACTTTTAAAACCATTGTTGTTGTTATATGCCTGTGCAGGGTTTCTGAGGCTCTTTTTACAGGAGCAGATTGTCTCATCTTTGTCTGACAGAGCAGCTGATGGGCTTGAACTGCCAACTTTGTAGTTAGGAGTCCAGTGCTTAGCTTTCAGAGCCTCAGCACTCCCCTTAAAACCATTGTTATTGTTGTTGCTTTTGTTAAGTGCTGTTGAGTCTGTTTTGATTCAGCAACCCAGTATAGGATTTCCAAGCAATGGCTGGTGGGTTTGAACCACCAACCTTGACGTTAGCAGTTCAGTGCTTATCTTATAGCACCAAATCAAGACTCCTTAAAACCACTGTTGTTGTTAAGTGCTGTTGAGTCATACATAGCAACACTGTATGAGGTTTCCAAGGAGCAGCTGGTGGGTTTGAACTGCCGATCTTGCGTTTAGCAGTCTAGTGCTTATCCTACAGTGCCACATCAAGACTCTGCAAAATCATAGAAACTGCTATTAAAAATATCAAAACATGAAGCTTTTATTTCTTGATATATCCTCCATCTAGGCACTTTCAATGTTCTCCTCCAACACCATAACTCAAACACTTTGAAAAGCAATGTTTTCATCTCTAACCCTTCCTAGTGTGGTGCTATAGGATACACACTGAACCACAAGGTCGGTTCGAACTACAAGATTGGTGGTTCAAATTTACCAGCCACTCCTCAGAAACTCTATATAGGGTCTCTGTGAATTGGAACCAACTCAACGGCACCTAACAACAACAAAAACCCTTCCTTGAAGAATTCTATGCTCTTTGATTTACACCATATCAAAATGGCAGTTTTAGTAACCCCAAGACTCAGATTGTGTTTCTTTTCAATATACTTGGAGTTTGGGTAACAAAAAGAAGTCTGAAGGGGCAAATCAGAGCTGTGGGGTGGATGGGATAAGGTTTCCCAAAGAAATTCTCATAGGATAACCTTTGCTACCTTTGAAGAATGAGCAGGTATATTGTTATGGGAAATCATTTATTGGTTCAACTTTCCTGGCCTTTTTCTCATCAATGCAGTTTTCAGTTTTTTTAAAAGTTCTTCATAAACCCCCATGTTCATCTGTGCCCTTGGAGAAAATCCTTCAAGATTAACCCTTTGTTGTTGTTGTTGTTTTTGTTAGGTGCCATTGAGTCGGTACGGATTCATAGCGACCATATGCACAACAGAACAAAACACTGCCCTGTACTGGGCCAACCTCACAATTGTTGCCATGCTTGAGCCCATTGATGCTTCCATTTTGTCAATCCATCTCGCTGGGGGTCTTCCTCTTTTTCTTTGACCCTCCACCTTACCAAACATGACATCCTTCTCCAGTGACTGGTCCCTCCTGACAACATGTCTGAAGTATGAGAGACGAAGTTTGGCCATCCTGGCCCCCAAGGAGCACTCTGGCTGTACTTCTTCCAACACGTATCTGTTTGTTCTTATGGCAGCCCATGGCGCTTTCAATATTCTCCTCCAATAACATAACTCAAAAGCATCAATTCTTCTATGGTCTTCCTTATTCACTGTCAAGCTTTCTCATGCATATGAGGTTATTGATTAACCCTTTAGACCCCCCCCAAAACCATCACCATAACTTTCTGAGCTGGTTTTTCTGCTTTGAATTTAACTGACCCAGCAGATCTCCATGGAAGCCAATGTTTTCATTGGATCTTCTTTTTAAGGCACCCTAATGAGACTAATGGAGTCCTGGTGTGGCACTGGATTTGAAAGTCAGTTTGAACTGCAAGGTCAGTGGTTCAAACACACCAGATGCTCCTCAGAAGCCCTATACTGGGTCGCTATGGGTTGGAACTGACTCAGTGGCACTTAACCACAATGAGACTAAGACAAGTGTATTATCAAGAGAACTTGTCTTCAGTCATTCCATTGATCTCAGAGACATGTTTAATTTCATTTTTTGGGGAATAAACCTGTGCATGTATGAACTGGACCTCTAGTAGCAATACTTTTGATTTACTGTCATGTATGAGGGGGCTTAGACGTACACTGGACTAAACCACAAGGTCGGTGGTTAAAGCCCATCAGTTGCTCCTTGGGAGAAAAATGAGAATTTCTACTCTCACAAAGATTTACAGCCTCCAGAAATCCTATACTGGGTCACTGTGAATCGGAATCAATTTAATAGTACTTAACAACAACAACAATGAGGAGACTTCAAAAAGTTTGTGGGAAAATGGAGTTGAAAGATGGAAATTTCCCACGAACTTTTTGAAGCCGCCTTCAAGATGAGATATATTACTTTGGCTCAACAGCACTTAACAACAAGAACGTACACCGTAGTGCCCAGCACACAGTGTGCTCAACAAATGGTAACTCTTTTTTATTCTTATCATTGTTGTTGTTAAGTACCATAGAGTCGGTTCCAACTCATAGTAACCCTGCACAGGGTTTCCGAGGCTATAAATCTTTACGGGAGCAGAATGCCTCATCTTTCTCCCCCAGAGCCACTGGTAGTTTCGAACTGCCGACCTGGAGGTTAGCAGCCCAATTTGTAACCATTACGCTACCAGATCTCCTTAAATGCAGTTTATTCATCAAATACACCCTAGGCTTTAAGGCCTGCCTTTTTATAATCTTTGTACAGTTTACAGCTAGTTGGGTAGAGCCTATGCCTTTTCCTTTTCTTCACAGGGCTTTGAGGTCTGGCTCAGCAGCCTCAGCCCTTCTTGCTTCTACCCCTACCCTGGTCCTCAGGATTCTGGTGCTCCCTCCACCTTGTCTCTAGGTGACTACGAGCTGAATGTCTCCCCCTATGAAGACACAGTGACCAAAAAACCCTGGAAAATGAATCTCAACAAACTGAACATGCTCAAACCAGATGTGGATGGCAAGCTCAGACTGGGTAATGGGAGGCTGGGTCTGGATCCTGAGGGAAGGATGTTGGGTAAAAGATACAAGTTGGGAGGTTTGTGGGGGAACAATTTCTAGCCTGCCAAATGACTAAAATATCATCATGTTAGCATGGGAATCTGAACTGTGGGACATAGTCAACTAGAGCCATCAAACAGCAACAGCTATTAGGGATACATTTGAAAGGCAAGCCCATACAAAGGGTGTGGTAGAAGTGGCAGGAGGGGCAGCAGTCTCAGAAACATGTACTCAAATGGAGTGTTTACCCTCATTCCAGACAGCCAGGAAAGCAGCTTTTTGTCCCTAAAGACTAAGAAATTGTTTGTTTTCAACCAATCTAATGGGATGGGCGAGGTGTTGGGCAGGGAAAATGGTGAGAAAGTATATGACTTTGTACAAGGGTGACTCAGGGTGGGGATCCATCAGTCTGGCAAGGACTATGATGCTCATTTTTCAGGAAAGTGAAGCTGTTAATTAGGAAGGAACACACACACATGCATTCTCTTTTTGAGAAAAATTTGAACTTTGTTGAATACTCAGTTCAATATGTTGTTGTTGTAAGTGCTGTCGAGTCGGGTTCGACTCATAGCAACCCTGCAAAGAGTTTCTGAGGAGCAGCTGGTGAATTTGAACCTCAGGCCTCCCGGTTCAAGCGGACTTTGCAGTCCAGCGCATTAACCAACGGTGCCATACCAGGACTCCCAGTTTGATCTATCAGGATATGAAATTTGAGGGAAAAAACAGAGTTTTATGCATAACAAACTCTTAGTTACAAAGAATCAGTGAATGCCCTGTACTGGTTACTTGATTGTTTTGGCTGGTGAAATATTTTATTAATAAAATTATCATCATAATTTCTTAAGACTCTGAGTATGATGCACACTGATTCATGAATCAATGTACGACAAGTGACATCAAAAACCTAACAGAATAGACGAGTGCAAAAAAAAAAAAACTAAACAGAACTTGATGGCAACTCTTTTGGACAGTTCAAAAGTTGCTTTACTATGTTGCAGGGTTCTCTGGGTTTTGATTCCCACCATCAGATTGCACTGCACAGGACCAGGCAGGGAAAAGGTTTTGGTTATTTGGGTTTTTTGACTGCTTGGATTTTAGATAAATATATCTTGTTGTTAAGTGCCATCGAGTTCGGTTCCAACCTATAGCAACCCTGTGCAGGGTTTCCCGGTGAACTTAAACTGCTGACCTTGCAGATCAAGCCAACTTTGCATTCCAGTGCATTAACCCACAGCACCACAAACCTTGTCAGTATGAGTAGTAGAATGGAGAGTCTCAAGAATACCAGATAATGTTTGTAGGTAGAGGGAAAGGTCCTGGCCTTATTCCAGTCAGTCCTGTTGCTCCAACTTGCCCCATAACCTTCAGTGTTAAATTAGATGTTCAAAGGATTCTTAGGGAGGCCAGGCTGTAGGTATGCTTGGAGTGTCCAGGCTGGTGACTTCATCCCCCTCTCTACTCAGACTCAGACCTCTGCTTGAAGTTCACCATGCTGTGCACTGTGAATGCCAAGTGTGACCGACTGCGCAAGGCCTACGGGGAGGCATGCTCAGGACCCCACTGTCAGCATCATGTCTGTCGTGAGCAGCTAAGGGCCTTCTTCGAGAAGGCGCCTGAGCCTCTTGCACAGGGCCTGCTGCTGTGCCCATGTGCACCTGGAGACCGAGGCTGCGGGGAGCGCAGGCGCAACACCATCGCCCCCAGCTGTGCACTGCCTTCTGAGGTACCCAACTGCTTGGAGCTCCGTCGCACCTGCCTCTCTGAGCCGCTCTGCAGGTGAGGGGTGCGGGTGGACCCTGGTAGTAAAGGATGTGGTGCACCCTTGAGTGCTCCCTTGCCTGTACAAGGTTGGGTCGACACAACCCACCCTTAGGAACTGACTTCTTCACCTGGGTATTTTCTGAAGTCATCTTCTCAAACTTAACCCTTTTTTCTCCTTTATGTAAAAACTTGAAAATACCAGACCGTACCAAAAATATTACTTAAAAATTCCATCACCTGAAGATAACTCACTGAACTTTTGGGGACATTTCCTTTTGTTTTTGTTTTTATATATAGATAGCAAAACCATACATTTTAGAAATATGTTTTAATCTTCTTTCACTTCTGTTATATATCTCATGAGCATTTTCTTGTACAGATAGTATGGGGTAGTGGTAAAAACTCAAGCTCTGAAGTCAGATGTGAGTTTAAATCCTGGGTCTATGTAACCTGTGGCATTGTAGAATTAGCACTGGACAGCTAACTGAAAGATCGGTGGTTCACACTCACTAGTAGCTTCTTGAAAACCCTATACAGGCTCTCTATGAGTCAGAACCAACTTGATGGCACCTACCAACAACAATATGACCTTTACTTAAGATTCTATCACCTAACCTAAAAAGTCATCATTTAACTTAAGATTCCCTTTAATTTAGAATAATAATGCAGAGCTCTGGTAGCGTAGTGGTTACGAATCGGACTGCGAACCTTAAGGTCAGCGGTTTGAAACTACCAGCCGCTCCGCGGGAGAAAGATGAGGCTTTCTACTCCCGTAAAGATTTACACCCTCGGAAACCCTGTACAGGGTCGCTATGGGTCGGACCCGACTCGATGGCACTCAACAACAACAACAACAACAATGCAGAACTCATGGGATTCCAGTCAAAGTTAAATAAAATAATTTACATAAACTGCTTATCTTATGGGTGCAGAGTAAGCACTCAGTAAAGGGTACCCATTGCTGTGGAGTGGATTCCAACTCATTGCAACCCGATGTTGTTGTCATTGTTAAGTGCTATCGAGTCAGTGCCAATCCATAGCTACCCTGTATAGGGTTGCTGAGGTGAGGCTGGTGATCTTGAACCACCAACCTTGCATATCAAATAAGCTTTGCAGTACAGTGCATTAGCCCACAGAGCCACACCAGGGCTCCAGGGCAGAGCAAAACTTCCCCCTAGGATTTCCAAGACTTTAATCTCCTGGTGTGGCACTGTTGGATAAGCATTCTAATGCTAACCACAAAGTTGGTGGTTCAAACCCACCAGCTGGTCCTTGGAAATCCTATACAATGTCATTATGAATTGGAACCTACTTGATGGCACTTAACAGCAATCTTAGCAGAAGGAGGCCTGGTGGTGCTAACCAAGAAGTCAGTGGTTTGAACTCACCAGTAGCTTCACGGGGGAAAGATGTGGCAGTCTGTTTTTAGAAGCCCGAGGAGCTCTGGTAGCGTAGTGGTTACGAATCGGGCTGCGAACTGTAAGGTCAGCAGTTCAAAACTACCAGCTGCTCCATGGGAGAAAGATGAGGCTTTTGGTTCCTGTAAAGATTTACAGCCTCGGAAATCCTGTTCAGGGTCGCTATGAGTTGGAACCGACTCCATGGCACAACAACAACAAGAACCAATAGATCTGTTGTATTTCTTCTATTGGAAGAAATGAAGCCAGAGTGCTCCTTGGAGGCCAAGATAGCCAAACTTCATCTCTCATACTTCGGACATATTGTCAGGAAGGGTCAGTTGCTGGAGAAGGATATCATGTTTGGTAAGGTGGAGGGTCAGAGAAAAAGAAGAAGACCCCCAATGAGATGGATTGGCCAAGTGGCAGAATTGATGGACTCCAGCGTGGCAACAGTAGTGAGGTTGGCCCAGGATCGGGCAGTGTTTCATTTTGCTGTGCATAATAAGGTCGCTATGAGTTGGTGCTGACTCAGTGGCACCTAAGAACAACAACAATGTGTTATAGGGTTGTTATACATTGGATTCCACTCAACATCTTTATGAGAGCAGATTGTTACATCTTTCTTCAGCAGAGCAGCTTGGTGGGTTTAAACAGCCAACCCTTACATTAGCAGTCAAGTGCTTTAACGTGGCACTATGAGGGCTGCTTCAGTAAATGGTGCTGTTTGTTTTTTTATTTATTGTACTTGATTTTTAAATGTCTACATTGTATTCTGCTGTATGTAAAGTATTCACTTATTTAGTCATTCCTTCATTGTTGGGTTGCCTTTAGTTCTTTATTACTATAAATAATGCTGCAATAAATACCACTTTTGTTTATTAATCTTTGTTCACATCTCTAATAATTACTTGGAGTCTTGGTGTGGTGCTGCGGGATCATGCACTGGATCAAAAGGTAGGTTTGAACTGCAAGGTTGATGGTTCAAACTCACCAGCCGCTCCTCAGAAACTCTATACGGGGTCACTAGGAGTCAGAACCTACTCAACAGCACTTTACAACAGCAACAACAATTATTACTTAGGACATGTTGCTTACAAGTGCCATTGTTAGATCAAATGTTAGGAAGAAGTGTTTGGCACATATTCTTTAACAAATTTGAAATTCCAATCTGGTTTTCTCTTGCCTTCCCAGGGCAAAATACCAAATTGAAGTTATCATCCATTCAAGTGGCAGTTGTTTACAATGAGAGTCAAGCAGCTTTGTTCTACCACTTACTTTACTTATTATACAGTGAGTACTAATAACAACAACAACAACAATATCTAGCTCTGGTAGCGTAGTGGTTATGAATCGGGCTGCGAACCGTAAGGTCAGCAGTTTGAAATGACCAGCTTTTCCGCTGGAGAAAGATGAGGCTTTCTGCTTCCATAAAGATTTACAGCCTCGGCAACCCTATATAGGGTCACCATGGGTTGGAACCAAGTCCATGGCACACAGCCATCCATCCATCTATGCTAAATGCTGTACATCTATGATCTTATTTCATCCTCACAAAAATCCTATGAGGTAGTGCTATTATCCTCTAATTTTTTCATAGTTGAGCAAACTGAAGTTAAATAAATCGCCCAAGGTCTCCTAACTAGGGATTATGAAGCCCAAATTCAATATTATATATTGTAGGAACTGGTGTGATAGGGCATTTAATTGTGACACTGAATCCTGGCCACCTTCGCTCAGGAGGAGGTCCTGGGCCTGGCTCTGATGGCAGAGAAGGATTTGCATGGGCAGGCCTTCGAAAGGGCAGCAAAGGTACAGTCTGCAGACTAGACACTCAGTGGGGACTCTGGACATTTTCTTTCTTCCAGATCACGTTTGGCAGATTTTCAGACTCATTGCCATCCCTTGGATATCCTAAGGACCTGTGAGACAGAGCAGTCCAGATGTCTGCGAGCATACATGGGAATGATTGGTAAGTCTAGGGGGTAGGTATAGGGAACCCCCAGTCTGGGTGAGAATACTCTGGAGACTGAACCCAGAAGGAGTGCTCCTGAGATGGGTAGAAGATGGTGGGAGTGAAAGCTTGGGTTAGCGCAGGCACTCCAAACACCTTTCCCTTTTCTCCCCATAGGGACTGCCATGACTCCCAACTTTGTCAGTGACATCAACACCAGTGTCACCTTAAGTTGTACCTGCCGTGGCAGTGGCAACCTCCAGGAGGAATGTGAGCGGCTGGAAGGGTCCTTCTCCCATAACTCCTGCCTCAGTGAGTTCGGTCTGCCGGCTCCCAGGCCCCATGACTGTGTTACCTGAACCAAAGGGGGTTGGGAGAAGGGTCAAGTATGTGATCCACACTGGTTCCATCCATCTCCTGCAGACAAAACAGTCCCCTCAGTAAAGGTCCCAGCCTGCACCTTAATTCCTTTCCATACTTTCTGAGTGACCCACCCCCACCCCAGGCTTTCTGTTCAACCTGAGTTGGCCCAAGGGACTCTTCCTAGCCCAAGGAAAAGCAAGCAGAATAAGGCAATATCCCATCTCCTCCCACCTCCTGCCTACATCTAAAGGTCCTTTGGTATTCCCTTTCCTTCCTTGAGACCCTGAGAAGTTCCCAACAACGACTCCCTTACAGTCTGCTTTCTTTCCTCTCCTCAGAGGAGGCCATTGCAGCAAAGATGCATTTTCACAGCCAACTCTTATCCAATGATGGGACAGGCCTTACCTACTCTGTGATGAAGCACCAGGTAGGGCCTCCTCTATTCCACCCCTCCATACCAGATGAAGAAAACCCAAACAAGTCAGAAAGGGGATGGAGAGGGGTGACCTCCTTGTCACAAATACTCTAAAATACTGATAGTATTCAGGAGAGGGGGCAGGTCTTGACTGAGGCTGAGGGGGTAAAGTGGGTAGTCAGCAGGGTCCCCTAGGCTGACTCTATTCTATTTCTTCCACAGAATAAAAATCCTGCTCAGAGACCACAGCCTTGGGTGCCCTCTCTTTTCTCCTGTACACTGTTGCTGACTCTGCTCCTGAGATCCTGGTAGTTGACGTCTCTAAGAGCCCTCTTCCCCTCCACCAAACGCAGCCTACAAAGTCTGAGGAAAGGACAGCCTCAGGAAGAAAATGCAATGCACTGTGAGGCAAACCTGACTCCACCCCACCCATCCAATTGACTTTTGATGAGGCCATTTAAAAGCTAGGGGTTGTTGACTTCCAGGTCCTTACTGGCTGGGTTCTCATTCCTTCCACTCCACCTCTACTTTAGGACTTGGTGACACCACCATTTAGCCATATACTCTGGTAGTGATAAGTTCTACCAGGCCCTTTCTTGATCCCTTCCTCCTGTCCACTAAGCTCACCTAGAGAGGAAACACTTTGCCATCTAACAAATCAGTCACTCTCTAATGCATTACAAGCAGGCAGGACTGGGTGATGTTCTAAGGAAGACTAGAAAGACATTTCCCATCATGAAGAAGATTGAAGCAAGACTGGGCCCTTCCTCCCACATCTTCTTCCTGACCACATGGATCTCTCTGAATTTGGAATGGGAACTTTCTGATTTCACTGCTCTGCCCAGAAGCATCTGAGCCTTGCTTTCTTTATTCCTGCTACTGCTCCAAAGTTCCCGTATGCGCTTGGATCATGATTAAATATTTTGACTGAAAACTCCCCCCCCCCCCATTTCTCACATTGTAGATAACTAGGAAATAACATACAGACCTAGGAGTGTTACAGACAAAAGATTAGATAACCAGGATGCAGAGGAACCCTACCAACAGGTCTCCACCTCTATGTGTACTTAACATGGAGTTGACAGAAAAATGGTTTATATGAGGCTGTAGGCTTAGTATCTGAGACAGCTCCAATTATTTTTGGCACACTGTGCAATGTCTGCCACAGCAGCTGGTAGCAAGGCTTCTCCATCAACCATAGCATTAATCAAGTATCTATGTGTGTTACTTGTCTGTCAGACCATAATGGGGACCAGAGGCAAGAATAGACTGATCCTTGATCTCAGGGAATTTGTAAGACTGTTGAGATAAGGAAACACATTGGTGTGTCTTTCTAAGACAAGCACTGTATGGCAAATCACAAGGAATGAACTCCTTGGAATTGACTCAACAGCATAACAACAACAAGCCATGTAAAGTAGATGGAAGAATGTATTTACAGAGCTGAGGACATTTGTCTAGTAATGTTCTTATTCTTTTAATAAGCATCTGTTGAATGCTAACTTTGCTGGACACAGGCGATTCCAAGGTAACTCAGGTCTTATTTTCAAACCTTTCATGCTGGCAGAGCCGGGAAACTGACAAGATAGTTAAGAAGTGCAATGCAATAATGGTAAGTGCTATGCCCCATTCAAGGAGCTCTGGTAGTGTAGTGGTTACGAGCCAGGCTGCCAACCTCAAGGTCAGCAGTTCAAAACTAAAAGATGAGGTGTTCTGCTCCCACAAAGATTTACAGCCTCGGAAACCCTGTGCAGGGTCACCATGAGTTGGAACCCACTCCACGGTACTTAACAACAACAACATGCCCCATTCAGTGAGCTCCTACTATGTGCCAAGTATTTTAATGCATTTATTCATTTAATCCTTCAGCAATGTATGACCCTAGTATAACCTCTGTTCTGGTCCAGAATCTACATCAGTAATATGAAAAGGTACAAAACCCACCTTATAATGAGATAATCCATGTAAAAACATTGTGTTTGGCACATAGCAGGAATTCAAAAGAACTAGCAATTATATGATTTTTGTAGAGAATTTGGACAGCATGTTGTTGTTTTTGTTAAGTGCTGTTGAGTTGGTTCCGACCCATAGTGACCCTGTAAAGAGTTTCTGAGGCTGTAAATCTCTACAGGAACAGAAAGCCTTCCTTATCTTTCTCCCGCAGAGCATCTGGTAGTTTCAAACTGCTGGCCTTAATGTTTGCAGCCTGATTCTTAACCACTATGCTACCAGAGCTCCTTTTGGACAGCATAGGCAACGCTAAAAAAGAAAGCAGACAGACAATCCCAGGACCATCACAAAAGAACGTGAGTGGAGCGTGAGATCCCTACCTGAAAAAGTGGCGACAGCCAGAGGCGGCAACATGGAGAGACAGAGCAACTGTGGACTTCTAGGCCCATGGACTGAGTAAACCTGTGTGCCTATGGGCAGGATATAGCTTGTAGAATGTGCCCTCTGGGCATTCACAGACTGGCTAAAATAGCTTTGTAGCACTTGTCTGAGCAGGGCAGAGAGCATGGGACCACATGGCCGAGAGGCCAAAAACAAGACTGAGGCATGCTTGCAGTATTGCAGACAAGAGGCATTCCTGATTGGAAAACCCTGCATCCTGAATTGTTTCTGATTCCTGAATTGTGTCCTGTTCATTTCTCTAATAAACCCCATGGAACTGAAAAGAAAAAAAAAAAAAAAAAGATACGAAAGCAGAGATATTTGAAATCCCACCACCCAGGGACAACCACTGTAAGTTCCAGTCTATTCCCTACTCATCTGTGCACATTAGGACAAGTGGCTTTACATAAGAAGAGCCCTGAGGGTTCAGTGGTTAAACTCTCAGTTTCTAACCCACAAGGTCTGTGGTTTGATCCTAGCAGCCACTCTGCAGGAGAAAGATGTGGCAGTTGATTTCATAAAGATTACAGCCTTGGAAATCCTCTGGGGCAGTTCTACTCTGTCCTATGGGGTCACTTTGAGTCAAAATCTACTCAAGGACAATAAGTGTGTGTGTGTTTAGGGAGTGGGGGTGTGGCTGGGAGAGTCACACACTACATCACAGAGTAAAGATATCACAGATATCCTTCATCATCCTTGAGTAGAGCTTGAGCTGCATCATCCCTTTTATCAGCTGAATACATGGACTAGTGTGAATGTATCTGTTTATTTAACCAGTCCATGTGGATGAATAAGGAACTCCAGTGGTGCAGTGGTTAAGTGCTTTGCTGCTAACCAAAGTGTTGGTGATTTGAATCCACCAGATGCTCTATAGAAGAAAAATGTGGCTGTTTGCTCCCTTAAAGATTGCAGTCTTGGAAACCTTATGTTTGTCTTACAGAGCCAACTCTATGGCAGTAAGTTTTTTTATATTGATGAGTATTTAGTAGTCTCTCATTTCTGAAGGCGCTCTGGTAGCGTAGTGGTTATGAATTGGGCTGTGAACTGCAAGGTCAGCAGTTCGAAACTACCAGCTGCTCCGCAGGAGAAAGATGAGGCTTTCTGCTCCCATAAAGACTTACAGCCTCAGAAACCCTGTACAGGGTTGCTATGAATCGGAACCGACTCCACAGCACATAACCACCACCATTTTCTCTGAGTCAAGTGTTAGGCAGTGAGGGTGTAAGAGGAGCTACCAGAGTAGTGAGTAAAGTAGGTGAGCCTCTCTCTCTACATTTTTGTATCCCCATAGTCCACTCTGCCCCAGGAAATGCTCGGCCAAACTGTTTCTCTGCAAACTCCAGTGGAGCATTGGATGCACCTTCCCTCTTCTTCCCCTCCCAGTAAGATCTCTGAGCAGTCATAGCATCTCCATTTGCCTTGGTTCCATTAGCCTGAGGCTGGGGGTGTGAATGGTACAGTCATTCCTTGCTAAGTGCTTGAATTAGACTAATAGGTCATCTGCGCTTTTCTCTGAAGAAAGTCCAAATTCCTGGTAAACAACCAGACCACTCTCCCAGTTCAGGGCCCAGAGCCAAGATCCAGGGTGGGGGTGTAGTGGCTGGACTGAAGCTTTTAATGGCATCCTGGCTGGCTGGGATGGTTAATGCCATTAGACTAGCTTCTGGGTATCAAGGTAGGCAGGGTTGCTGGCAGCAGTGGTAAGTGCAGAGTATTAAATTACAGGCCTCCACATGATTGGGACGGAGCAGACTATCTTTTAAACTGCTATCTTCAAATTCACTCAATCATTCATCATTCATTCATCAAACCTTGAGCAAGCAGTTATTTTGGACCAGGATATGAGGTTTTTTTTTTTTTCCGGTCATGAATATTCTAAAAAGGGACAAGATCTGTACCTGCCCACTCATAAGCTATCATTTTGGCAAAAGGGTCATCCAGGACTCAGGCTGCTGGGACCTAAGTTACAGCAGTTAGCATGCTTCAGTTAGCTTAGTTAATTATAACACCCAGCTGTGCAACATTGGGAAACATTCTTCACCTCTCTGAGCCCTCCATCCCCACCCTATCTGTACAGTAGGGATGCCAATAGGAATCTCTAGCTTAAAGGGTTATGTGTTTTGTTTTATGAACACATCTGCAATTTATTGTCAATATCTAATAATGTTTACATCTGTTCTAATTATTTTAGCTGACAATATTGTGGCTTCCTGTTCTAAAGTTTATAAGCATAAAGAATTTACACTTGTTTTTATCTTGGTGTAAATTTAAGTCAGTTCCGACTCATAACACCCCTGCACAGGGTTACTGAGGAGTGGCTGGTGAATCTGAACCACCAACTCTGTGGTTCAAACTGACCTTGTGGTCCAGGGCATTATCCCACAGTACCACATAAAACAAACTCATAGGGTTGTTTTGAGGACTGGAAATAAACAATAACATCTAACATGGTGTCTGATAAAAGATCAATGCTCAGTAAGTGACTTTGTAGGATAAACAGGACCCACCAACCACTCTTTGGGAAAAAGAGGACATTTTTTGCTCCCGTAAAAATATATAGTCTATACAATGTCACTATGAGTCAGAATTGATTTGCTAGTAGTGAGTTATCATTATTATTTGTGTGGTGCAAATGTTTAAGCACATAGTTATTAATCAAGAGGTTGGCAACTTGTTCCTCTAACTCTTAGATCCTGGGAAGAAAGAAATTTTACTACTCTAGGGCTTGCTAGATTTCTGGTCCTGTCAGTTGAAGAGCAAGGCAAAGCATTTCCTCTTCCCCTCTACATTCCATTCTGATCAACAATCACAGGCTTTTCCCCTCCTTCCTCTCTGGGGATGTCTGATTCTCAGAAATTCCAATCTCTTTACAAGGTCTCTTATTCCTCTTTAGAGGAAGTCTGTTCAAACCTAGAATCTAT